AGTTAACTTTAACCCACGACACTGTCCTTGTCACATCAGAGGCTGCCTTGATGGAGAACGGGATGCTGCCAGACCCCAGCGGTGCGGGGGGCACAGTCCCTGCCCCTACCCCCCCTGTGTCCCGGTTTGAAGGCAGGGCAGGTGGCACGTGCTGCCTGCAAGGGCACTGTCGACTGTTTGTGACTACGGTGAGATACATTGCGAATCACAAACATAAGTAAAATTAACCATGAACAATATTGAGATGCATTTGGACTGAGGATTTGTGCTTTTTAAAGCTTTAAAGTGAGTATCAGTATTACACACTTACAGTGCTTTTTGTTGGTTTCACATGTTTCACGATAAGCTTTATTTTAATTCCTAGAGAACATTTTTACCTAAGTGTTTGAATAGGATATTTTTCTTTATTCAGGAAGTGTTGAACATAAGTTTCCATGTGTATTACCATTCTGCTCATTATTTTCCTTACTCATACTGTGTTTTCCAAACCTGATTGAAATCTGTGTTATTTAGTCTCGGTGGGTCTGATCGCTCAGACTCTCTGCTAACCAGCTCCTGGTGACTTTGGTGGGAACTCTCTTTAGAGAAGACTTGCAGAAACCAGCAGTATAATTGAATCCATCTGCTCCCTCATGGAAAAACTCCTGTCCAATGCTCAGTCATCAAGAAAACTTCTTGAAACAAATTGAGTAAAAGAAGAAACAGAGCTGAAGGACCACCCAAAGCACTAGAACCAAACTAAGCATTATCGTCCTCCTTTTCCTTTATTCCAGAATTCATGTCCATAGTCCCACATCTAAGAAGAGGAAAAAAATCCCACATGTATTAATAATTGCCAGAGATCTTCTATAATATTTTTCTTTTTTTTAATTGTCAAGCAGGGCTGGTTGTCAAGCTGCTCTGCAGCAGCATCCCCGTGCGAAGGAAGGCGACGGGCTCTCCTTTTGTGGTGTCGATCTGCAGCAATTTGGTCTGAATCTGTTCTATCAAAGCAGCCACGCTGCGGCAGAGCCTGCTGTTGTGGATGTTTGATTGTTCCCACGTGTTCTGTCTGACATCTGCTTGGGGCGTGAAGCCAGCGTCCCCTGTTCGTGTCGCCATTCGGAGGCACTTACTGCATCGGGCGATGTCGGGGTGAATGCCAGGAAGCTGAATTACTGAGCTCTGGGAAAGTGGACAGAACAATACCTTATTGAAGAATGCCCAGCTGGAGAAACTAAACCAAAGTAACTGCAGGTGGTCTGGTCTGTTCTCCGTGTCCTTGGCCACGACTTCGCAGAGCAGGGGAAGATGCCAGCGCTGAGATGCAAAGCACAGGGGGACTCGGTGTCCCAGGAGGACAGCTCGGGGTAAATGCAGTGAATTAGTCATTAGGCATCAGAACAGGGATGCAGCCATGGATATCTAGGAACATCCTCTTATCCAAATAGGAAAATACCAGTCACCATCTCTTTGTCCCTCCAGGAGTCAAGGTCAGCAGCCTTCAGTCCTTTTTCGCTGCTGAGTGCTCGTCCCTGGGCATACCCAGCTTAGAAGGGGCACCATGAGGAACACTGAGAAACTGTAGAATCTGAAATAATTTTATTTTTTTTTCAGGAAAATTCCTTTCTAATGCCTGCCAAGCTGCTAATTGCTTAACTCATCGCACAGGAGAACATACAGCTGTAATGGGTTACGGAGGGATGGGGAGAGCAGGTGAAAACATGTCGAACCACCTTTTAGCTGAATGTTTTACAGCAAAGTTGTGTGTGCTGCTAAGGGAGGTGGTGTTTGGAGCTTTAGAGCGGACTGCTGCTTCTTCCCCTCGAGCCTCTCCTAGCTCGGCTGTGTTGGATGGTGGGAACAGATTCTGAGGCTGCTGCAGAGACCGGTGTTACTGACCACATCGCTCCAGCCTCCCGAGAGGTCCTGGCTCTCCCCCAGCCGCCGGCGTGCCCATATGATGGGACCGCGCAGATCCTCGCTGTTCTCCCGGCTGTCTCTGGACAGAACCTGCTCTTCCCCCGGGGACGTGGGGCAGGGACGGGGCTGCGGAGGTAATAAATGCCACTTGGAACAGAGCGCGAGGGAAATCTGACTTAACTTTTGCCAGACCGGAGCGTGATTTATGTGCGAGGCTTAGTTTAACTGGTGCCAGACCTTTTCACTTTCCATTTATTTTCAGTATTGCCGTGGGAAAACAGCCCTCGCCGCAAAGCTGGAAGTATCTTCTTCCGATGGGATGCAGAGGGTCGATCTCTGCAGATTTCTGAGAGTTCTCTTGTCTAAATGCCAATGCGTGGGGCTCTCAGAACTGTACCCAGTCGATTCTTTAAGTTTATGAAAGTCTGGTGTAAATAGCAAGTATTCTCTACTCACTGAATATAGACAGAAGTTAATCAGTAGTAGTAGGTAACAGTAAATATGGGTGAATTCTTATCTATACTTACAGTGTCCTTCTCCTTTTAGAATATGCAATTTCCAGAATGACCAGAACGTCATCTGCGTGTGCGTGTATTTGTAGATCATCTTGCTTTGAAGTTTTGTGGACTATTTCTCCCTGGAAAAATTAAAATATAGCACGATGGTATTCTCTGAAGGACGATATTGGAATATACGGGAACATTAGTTTGCACTGATCTAGCTACATTGATATGGTTTTGCATTAATTCATTCCTACCTTCAAAGAGGAAAAAATACGCCTGGTGAAGGTTTAGAGCAAATAAATATCTGGGGGATAGCAGAAGGTCCTTTGCCCCATGGACGGTTTTGTGAGGAATGCCAGGGAGGTGGGCAGGCACCTGGCAACAGTCCTTCAGCATCATTCACGCCTCCGAACCGTCTCAACTAGCTCACTTCAACAACAGATGCCAGAAATGGTGGGAAAGTCGGTAACATAAATAACTGAGCTGTTTCCAGATAATGTTTTTATCACCCCTATGATTCTGTGCAAGGTGATTTGTGGATATCTGTGATGAGTAACGTCTCTATTAAAGGACAGCAAATCTTCGCTCCATTCCAGGCTGTATTTTTGCACAGCGCGTGCTTGTAACCTGCGTGCAGCAAAATGCCAGGGTGCTGTGCTGCAAGTGCGAACCACCGGCCGGCCGTCCTGCAAAGCCGTGGGTGGAGAGAGCTGCCTTGCTCCCAGGGCTGGAAGCTCATCAGTTGAGATTAAATTAAATTGCGGTGTCTGCTGGGGGGAAATTTGTCACTTTTTCATTTACATGCGACTGTGCAGAAGGACTGGTATTTAACACTTTTTTCTATCTTTGGTCAGTATTTTATTTGAAGGGTTTTTTTATTTCTTAATATAATTAAACTAATTGTGCAGATGAGAAGAACTGGAATATATGCTGGAAAACAGGCAACGGCTGGTTGAAGCTGGTAGGTGGTGTGCTCTGAAAGATACCATTTAGCTAAGAGACCCTAAGACAAAATGAATCGTACCATTGAGGCAGTGCCAGTGTTTTATACAAAGCCACGTTAGCAGGTTATCTCCAGGTGTGCCTTCCTGCGTGCTTTTGCTCTCGGCATTACGTACAAGCCGCAGGATTTAAAGTGTTTCATATTTACATTTAGTTGGAGTTGCTTTTCCTGGTAGGATTGGAAAAACTCAACCAAACGAAAACAAGCTTCTTGCTCTAAAGCTGGTCTGTGCTGGGCAGACTGGTCTGAACTGGGGTGCGCAGCGGTCTAGCCTTTGCAGTGTCTCTTGTTGTTCTTAAGGAAATCCAAACAGCTGGCTTGTGTGGCTCCTAAGCGGTGAGAAATCAAGTCACGAGTGACAAACGACAGACCTGTGCCTGTCCTGGTGGCCGCTGGCGTTGCGCAGCGGCAGCGGCTGAGATGCTGATAAACCACGATGTGTATCAAAGGGAATAATTTTCATGTAAATACAGACGTGGAACCTGTGGTTTCATTTTCAGATTTAACAAATCAAGTGGAGACGATGGGACTGAAGCTGCAGAAAGTCACAGCCGAGATGGACCACTACAAGAAGCTGCTAACGTAAGGCTTCCCTCTGCTCGCTCGATTCACCGCTGCACCGGAGCGTGCTGCTTGTCCCGATGGTTTGGGGTTATGACCAACAGATAAAATATTTCCTCTCCGTAGCCAAGGGTCTGTATTTCCAAGCCCTGGCTGGAGCACACCGTCTGTGGACGCAGAGCTCTCCTCCAGCCAGCAAAGAGGAGGGTTAGCTCTGCTCACCCCCCCGCTGGTTAACACACAAGTGGAGGACAAATTTTATTAAATCCACATATAAAAATATAGAAAAAATATATAAAAATGGGTGTGGAAAGTCATATTGCACAGTGCAGGGTTGGGGTGGAGGGAAGGGCGCAAGAAAACTAATCAGAAACTTCAGTATTTCATCAATGACTATGATTTATTGTATTTTTTTTCCCAAATGTGAATTTGCCATGCCTTCTCCCCGTGCACCAGGGTGTTATTGCTGTTTGTCATCTCGAGTAGGAGTACACAAACCCTCAACTGCTAGAGCAAGAAGCCAATGTCACCTAATCCTTGTTGGAGCTAACCAAAGCCCTGCCTGAGACGAGACAATTCCCTACTGAAAATAAACATGGCTGTTTCAGATATGAACTAGTGCTGCCCATCTCGAGACCAGCTACCGTCAGCCTTTTTGTGGTTTTCTTTCCTGAAATTTAAGCAAGGATTCGTTCTTTTAGGAGGTGTACTTTCTGGTTTCGGTTCCTGCATTCAGAGGGTCTGATCGTAACGAAGTCGCAAATATTTGGAATGCTTAGCAACAAAGAGTTTTAATGATCGTACGAGGGTTGAGGATGAAAAAAGATTTCATGAACACAGTTAAACAAACACTAAAGGGTTTCCAAATGTCGTATTAAAACTGCAGTGTAATATGAGTGCAATTTAATAAAATAACATATTCTGCATTTGTTTAAATGTAAATACGAAGCTTAACCATGGTTATTAATTGCTGAGCTGCTGACATAATGAGAAGAAAGCTGCAAAGTTTCCAGCCCTCCTACCTACCAAATTGTTATTTGTTCTTTTTTTTGTTCATATCTTACTGGAAACTGTCATTGATGTTGCAAGATCTCGCTTTCTTGTTTGCAAAATTAAACTTGTGGTGATCCTAGGTTAGGCTGAGATCACGCTGGGGGTGTGACTTCCAATTAGTTAGAAATGTTGGCTGGGACTGACAGGGCTTTTTGTTGTCTGCCTTCTCCCTGAAACAGAAAATACAGGTTTAGGAGAATGTCAATAAACCTGGCTTCAGGTTCCTGCGTGAGTGCAGGCTGTCATTTCTTCGGACAAATGCACCATTGTTAAATGTTTTTGTAGGGTGAAATCAGCGGAACTTGATGTCTGTCAAAATGAACTGAAAAAAATGAAATATGAAAATGGAATCTCTGAGTCAAGGTAAATGCCATAATTATATGTTATGACCTGACACCTAGATTTCTGAACTGTGAGAGAAAAAAAATTTATTTCATTATTTTAATGCAGCTTTTAGACAATATTTTTTTCTGCTTTTAGTTTCTATTTTTGTGTTCACGTCACTAGATTTAATCTCATGGCGTTTTGTCTAGCATTTTATTTTCCAGGTACAAATAATTTCTGTATATTTAGTATCTGTCTGTAAATCAGAACATAGTAACTGCGATGCTGATAGCTTTTTTATTTCGTCTGTAGGCTTACGAAAGAGCTGAAGGAAAAGGAGGAATCTCTTCTCATTTGCCAGCAAGTGTGCAAACATTTACAGGAAGAAGTGGCTGAGAGAGAAAGGAAAGAAGAAGATCTCAAAAGAAGAACGGGCCGATCGGAAAGTGAGCTGGAAGCACTGAAAGCTCTTCTTGGGCAAACAGAGGAGGAGGTGGCGATGCTGAAACAAGAGAGGTGATGGGAGCTGAGCCTCCGCGGGGAATGGAGTTTTTAAATAAACAGTGTAGACAAAATTTGAATGAATAAGAAAAAAAGCCCATTAAAAAATAAACAAAACAAACAAACAAAAAAACACAAACAAACAAAAAACCCCAAAACCAACCCGAAAGCCAGCTTTGCAGTTCAGGGCTGTAGCTGAAGCTTGGTTGCAACCCCCATTTGTGGCGGTGGTGATAGCGGCCGTTTGGTCCGTGAGGTTGTAGAGCAAAAGCCCTGGAGAGTTTGAGTTTGTGTGACTCAGGTTATTAGCGACTTGCAAAGCAGGACAATGCTATAAATAGTTCAGCGTGCCAGGTTATTGGGAATGGGCTAGTGTTTGGGGATGTGGATGGACAGCTGCCTGCCAGGAAATTTTCGTTGCTGATAAATCAGCGTGGCTTTTATTGGCGAATAGAGAGTGCTGTCCCCTGCTTCAGACGGGGCAGTGTGTTACTGCTTTGATTTGTGCACCGTGGAAAATGTGTTCGGGGAAGCGGCTCTGGGAGAAGATAAGCGTTTTTGGAGAGTGGTGTACACCAAGAGGCATTAAGCTATTGTAATATTTAAAGGGTTTGGATATTCCCTGTACTGCAGTACTCGCGTGAAAAGATATTACATGTTAATTTAATTCCCCTTCTACTTAAGCCTGAGGTACCTGAGTTGTTCCAGGTGGTAAATTGCTAATAATCTAAGTTACAAGAATTTCAGCTCTCCGGGGCTTTTGCTTTACAAGCCTCACGTAACAAACAGTAACTCTAACAACAGAAAGCACTGGGTGGTTTTAGTTCAAAACCTATTACGATATTTTTAATTAATGATAGTAATATTCTGAGTTCATCAGACACAGCAATTTCCGTTTTGAATGTTATAACAGCTTTTCAGTGTTCTTCAAAATTTGACTTGAGAGGTTTAAATATGTGTGTGTGGAAGACAGATCAACTACAGTATCTTCTTTAAAATTCATAAAGCACGTGTTGCCGCGATGCAAATGCGAAGCAGTGGTGAGTGCTGGGGCTCGGGGCTGCGGGCAGCGCTGCTGGGCTGATGGCACAGCGGAGGAGGAGACGAGCCTTTGCCACAGCGGCACAGCGCCCATCTGGGCAGAGCGCCTATTGACATACGAGTTTTTGTGGTTTCTAGGGAGTTAATGCTGATTTCTCATCAGAACAGAACAGAGCAGCTGCAGGAAACGTTAAGACAGAAGATGCGGATAGAAGATAACTGGAGGGAGAAGGTAATCCTGCGTGTGCACTTGGCACCCCTTCCATTTCTTTTTTTTTTTTCCCCAGTTGTAGTGGGCTGTCAGGGCTGGGTACAGCGAGACAGATACCTGTCTCCTCGAGCGCACACGTGTCACTTGTCTTCTTCATCCGAGAGGTTTGAGCCGGGAGCTCTCGCCATGGGTGGTACTGGACGCAGGAGGGATTTAGTCGGAGTGTTTGCAGACTTGGCAGGTGGTCAGCTCTGATTTGGATTTCCCAGTTTCGGGGAAAGCGCCAGTGTTTGGGGTGCAGTCCCCTGGCAGCCTGCGTGTGGGGAGCAGGATGGAGCCCACCGACCCCTTGGCAGCTCCGTGTGCCCCGCAGGAGGGGTGCAGAAAAGCTCCATTTCAGGGGCTGTTGTCCAGCTGCAAGGAGGTGAACGTATGGAGCCCACCCTGCGCTGTGAGCAGCAGAAAAGCCCCGTCTCGGGGGCCACTGTCCTCCACAAGCCCCAAAGCGTGACACATGGAGCCCGCCCTGTTGTGTGTGCAGCAGCCCGGGTTACAAACCCCGGAGCACAGCTCTGCGTGGGGGAGCGGGTCAGCGCCTGGGTTTGTGTCCCGGCACATCTGGCAGAGAAGCAGGGTGGTCCCGGAGCTCTCGGGAGCTGCTGAGGAGCAGGAGGCAGCGGAGGTGTTGGCCGGAGAGGAAGGGGAGAGGCGTGTGGGTGCCCTGCCCGGTGCTGACGGCGGCTCTGAGTGCAGGGTGCGTGGCCATACATCCTGAGACGGTTCTGTCCCTCACGGCAATAGGCGGGGGAACATGTAACGGGAGTTTTATCCTTTCCGAGCCCTCTGTGACCATGAAATTTGTTGTTTTGGTATGAACCTGTAGTTCTTGCCAGCGTCGGGGTGAGTCCCCACGTGTACGGGGAGGAAGATGCCACCCCCGAGTGAGCAGTGTCCCCTGGCTCCAGGGCTGGAGTACCTGGAGCAAACCTGGGGGGCTTGTGCACCGGGGGTTGGGGTGCATCGGGGGAAGGTGGGACGGAGATTGATGCACCTTCCAGACATGCCTGCTCCGTGACACAGCCCTCTTTTCCCATTATTTAATGGAGTGAAGGAAAAAAGAAATTAAGTCAAGGCTACAGGTGAGAAGGGTGGTTAAAATCCAGCCAGGAGGGCACCCCAAATTTGGGGGGTAGCTGGCTTGGCTGGGGAACAGAGAGTGGGAAAGAGATCAGGTCTGGTCCCACCCACGGATGCAGGATGCAGCGTGATGAGGATGATGAGGCTTTGAGCAACCTGGGCTGGTGGGAGGTGTCCCTGCCCATGGCACGAGGTGGCACTGGGTGATCCCTTCCAACCCAAACCATTCTGGGATGCCCTCCCGGCACCTCACCTGGTCTGTGCCACACACAAACTCCTGTGATCGTGTGTCTTCTTGTTAGAAGGGTTTCCCACCGCCGGTTGCAGCTTTAATTGGGATAACGATGTTCTGCCAAGTTGGGTTGTGATTTGTTGGTCACCTCTTAACGTGTACCTGGGTTTGGGGTTGTCTGTGGACAAATGTTTTCTGAATATAACAAATTAAAAAGTAAAAAAAAATAAAATCTGGGAAGAAAAAATTGAAAATAGTGTTCAACAGTAACTCTGACTTTTCTGATTTGAGCCGTACATCATTGGCGACTGCAGTTACTGTCTTTTCTGGTTCAGTGTGTGATCAGTGTCTGAAAGCTTTGTTCAGTCCCAGGAAAATTTGCGGACTACTAGCAGTTAAGATCAGTTACATTTCTTTTAAAACTTCATAACCTCGCTGTCGCAGGATGTGATTTTAGCGTGAGGTCGCGCTGTCTGCGTAATCCCAGCGCGTGGTCCAGCCTGACGTTAAACGGGGATACCGGCTGCTGCTGGTCCCAGCCCTTAGCATGCAGCGAGTGGCAAGTGCTCGAAAAATGTTCTCTTCAGACAAAAGAATCAGAAATGAGTCCAAGTGACAAAGTTCTCTTTTCCTCAGGTCACTGTGCCATTGCGCAAGTGTAAAGTGTCCCGGTTTCCTATTGACAATACAGATACACCTTAAATTGTTTTAACAGAACAACAGGAAAAAAAATCTCATAAAATTAAGACTGATGTAAACGTTTGTTTTATGGATTTTTTTAAAATATTAATTAATGAGGGGCCTGTAAGTGGGTTTAAGCAATTAGTAGCCATTATGCTTGCTTTGAAGATCAGCTGCTGTTTGATTTCCTGTTCTGGCCATCGGCTCTGTGAGCTTCAACTGTTAAATGGGAAAAATGCTCGTGTAGCCTTCAGCACGAGCTCGGGTTTTTATACTGCTTGTGGTTTGGTTTTTAGTCTTTTTAATCAAGTAGCCTCCAACATGGGATCTGCTCCTGTAAGAATAAGTAGAGTTAATAAATTTGGTTTTCTGTGATTAGAATCCTACTTCCCAAACCTAATAATGTAGAAGATAGATCTATCTATAATAATAATAATAATAACAATAATAATGATGGTCTGCTCTGAGGATACAAAAATACCAGTTTTAAGCTAAACCTCCGTGGGGGATTTGTGCCTATTCCGTGCCCAGAATTGGGTATATTTTAATATAAAAAAATAATGAAAATATTTCCAGTTTGTCTTTTCCCCAAAAAAGAGGCAGGGGGGTTTGTTACACTTTTGCTGACAATTAGGGTATGAAATCAGATAATTGTAAATTAAGCTCATTCTGGGCTTTTCTGCTTTTAATAATTTTAATTCTCCTTTAGGAAAAAGATTTTTGAAAACACAGCCTTCAGTGTTTCCTCCAGAATCCAGGCTTTTCTTTTTGGGAGATTCTGTCTGAATTGTCAAATTTGAATTTATAATATTAAAGAGATGATTTAATAATAACAATTAAGAATTTTATCATAACCTGGGGGAAATAAGGCCTGGGATATCTCACCCGGAATTTCGGGGATTCACAACAGGTTTAGGGGAAGGGGACACGCGATAGGACGGGTACGTGGGGCTGAGGAGCATGGTGCTCCCAAATCGTGAGATGCCCACGTGGAGCGTGTCGGCTGAGCGTGGGCAGACAGACGGGCTATAGGGTCGGGCTTTTAGGATTTTTATAAGAAAGATTTAACATTTTTATATTTTAATATTGAGTGTACGGCTTATTTTTAGCATGGTAGATGTTTACTGTGAAATGTATCATTTTGCTGCTTTTCAAAAGAATAATAAAGCTGAGCTTTACCCCCAGAGCAAATGCTTCCAGCAGAACAATCATCTGTTTTGGGAAGCAGCGAAGGATTTTGTCATTTAGTGCTTTCGCAGTGCCTTAGCGTGACGCCCTGCTGCCTGAATTTGAGATGCCAATATCTGAAGAGGAGTTGGTATGTACGGTTAAACCCCGCTTGTTCCCTAGATGGAAATAGATCTGGCGAAAGGCGAAGCACGACACAAAGAAGCAATACTTAAAGTCAAGGAAGAAGCGAGAGTGGAACTAGACATCGAGAGACAAAAGCAGCAGGAACTGATCACAAAATACCAGCGAGACCACGAAGAGCTCCAGAACAAGGTGTGTGACACCCCAGAGAAGAGTTTTGTGGCGGTAGATCGGGAAAGGTAAAACCTTCTTTACGTGCAGTCCTGTATCTAGGTGATAAATTTTTTTTTTTACCCAGTCTTAGTATATTTCAAGGTTTTTTTTAATGGATCACTTTAATCAGTTGTTATTCCAGGTAGGGAGGCGCTGCAGGAGCTCGCTCTTTGCTCACGTTTTCTTTCCCTGGAGTTCCTCTCTGTCTATAGAGTGTAGCTGTTCGTTATCTTTAAACTGACATCATCGTTTTTGAAAGCCCTTGGGCTGTTGCGGACTGTGCCAAGCTGTCCCAAACCCACCCGCTCTGTTTGCTCCCTTCCCGCATGGATCCGGCGGCGCTGGGGCAGGGGCCGGGGGCCGGTGAGCGGCTTCCCCGGCTGTGCCGGTGGCTGCAGCACACGCAGGGGCTCTTCCCAGACCTCCCCTTTTCAGGTCTTAGATAAAAATTGAAAATTTTACCTACAACCTTAGTTTTCAAACGATTTGACTTGTTTCTTGAGAATTCTGGAAAAATCAAAGACATTGGATGAAATTGTTGAAGATTTGTTTTAAAGAGCTGAAAATACCAGTTTGGCTTCGTTCACTTGACAAATATTTGACTCTGGTTTTCAAACCCTGAAGCAATACTGGCTTCCTGTAAAGAAGTTTTTCCGTTTTTACCTCTGTTTTTCTGTTTGATCTCGGACATACTAATTAATCTCTCTGTTCTGAGGGAGTTTTGACTAATTTACAGCTCTCTGATACCCTTTGAGGGTGTTATGGAAATTCAAAGCTTTTTTTTTTTGTCTCTCAGGGCATGTAGTTTGCATTTGTATTTTTTTTTTTCCTGAAGTCAGCATTTATCTGATTCTTAATCCTACACATCTAAAGCTATCCACTGAATGTAGCCTAATGCAATGTTTGGCTAATCTAATGCAGATACCAGGGTTAATATCCAGCGCCACCAGTAGCCTCAGGATGGAGACAGAAATTCTTGAAAAGAAGCTACAGGATGCCCAGAACAAACTTGCAGAGAAAGATGAAGACAAGGAAAAAGAAATTCAGAGCCTGAAGAGACTGATAACCGAACTTGAGTTTCAGCTGACGATGGAAAAGAACAACAATGAATCCCTTCTGGATAATATGAGGAAAGAAATCAAACACAAGTCAGATGAACTGGAAAAATTAACCCAGGAGAGGACACAGCTGATTCACGACTTGAGTCAAGTTCAAGAGGAGGTAGGAACGTGACCAAGGAAATGCCTTGCTGTTTTTACGTAGAGACATGTGATTTCTAAAATCATTCAAAGCATCTCTATTTCAGACCTTGGTTTAAAAACCATTAAAAGATTTATAAAGCCAAGCCCATCATCATTTCATATATACAAGGTATCACAAAATAGGTGAAATTTTTAATTCAGCAAGCACTTAAACTAGGGTTGTATTTTTTAAAAAATCCCTATTTTTCAGGTCCTGCAAGATGTTCATTTTTTAGTGGCTAACCTCACACCATGCTACATACACACGAGTAAACAGTAAAGCAGCCTACGTGGGTTTGGTTCTGAATGCGCGTTAGTGAGTGTGTGTTAGTGAGGTGAGAGGGGTGCTGGCAGCCGTCCTGTCCCGTGCCCGTGGGGGAGGTTCGTGGAAGGACGTGCGCTCCTCAGGGACTGGTCAGACCTTCAGCAGAGTGAGGAACACGCCGTTACCCTCATCGTGACCCTCCACCAGCTCTGCTTGTCTTCAGTTCCTCCCCATAGACGATCCCAGCAGGGAATGGGGAGAGCAGAGTGGCTGAACGTTGCAGCTGGTTTTCAGGTAACCTCCGCACCAGGGTATTTCTCAGACTTGCAGGTGACACTTCCCGAATAATTCCCCAAATAATAATTATTTAAACTACAGAGGAGGACGAGTTCTTGAGCATCTTATCCCCATGAAGCGGCGCAGTAGTACTCAACCTTTTCCCTCCCAAGAGCAGCATTCCCCGTTTCCCTCTGGCTGTGGGATGGGCAGGAGATCAGAAGTCACTTCTGATGACCAACCTCTTGCTTGTCACCGTCTCCCGAGGGGATGGAGGGTATGTAGATGCTGATGAGGATCCTTGGAATGACTTTCAGAGAAACCAGAACGGGGGAAGCGTGGAAGGGTTTGTATGCCTCAGTGCCCTCCAGCCGCGCCTGCCTGCAGCCCCGGGAGTTCCGTAGGCACGTGTTCTGACTCACGGCGTTTTGTAACGCCAGCCTTTGTTTCTGTTTGCAGAACACCCTTCTCCAGGAAACGGTGCGCAGAGAGTGCGCGGAACGCTATGAGCTGACTGCAGCTTTGACTCAAGCCAGGGAACAAGTCCTGGAACTCAAAAAGCTCAGTGGAAACTTCCCGGTATCGCCGTGTTCCCTGGCTCAGGGCAGCCTAACCTCCTCCGCCGCCCTGCTCGCCGAGTACGGGCAGAAGAGCCGCACGAGCCCCGCCGCTGGGAAGGAAATCCATCTCTCCGGACAGTTTGGTATTTCACGAGCCGCCAAGGCACCCGCCGCCGGTAAGCGTAAAGGCAGGGGCCGGCGGGGGTTTACGGGGCTTCCGCA